TGTTTTCTGTTTTTGGGGAGCTAAGTTATTTTATCTCCCCCTTTGTATACTTATTCCCTCTCTTCTCTTAATTTAATGAAGATGATGTTATTGATCAAAAAAAAAAATGTGTGGTCTCGGTGTTTTAAAAGGTGTGCCTCAGGCATGTCTAGGCGCATCGGTGTGCACCTTAAGGGGGACACACCTAGCGTGCCTTGCACCTTAGCCTAGGCACATGCTTTTTTGGATGTGCTTTTTTTGTAGATTTTTATGTGCTCAAGTAAAATCACAATATATGCCCAAAAAAGTAAAATCACAATAACATGTTTATATTGTATAAATATATAAGGCCATTACCCAGTGTAGCTGCTCTCAGACTCAAATCTGCATTCTCATACTTGCCAACCCAAGATTTTACCAATACACCAAGTGATGGCTCCTAACTCTTTTTATGTACAAGCCAAAAATTAAGGACATGGGTGTTGCCCTAAACCTCTATGTGGACTTGTTTGGGCTTTTTGAAGGGATGAGATATCCATCGTATGGACGCTCAAATCTTGCGGAATAGAATGGGCGAATTTCAAAAAATTTCTCTCCATCCTACTGGGAATCATATTCCCTATTTTAGAAAAATCATATTTTTCAATGATCAATCTTGAACCATGAACCAAACTTGATCTGAACAAAAGCAGTAGGAAAGGGATATACCTGATACAGAGAAATAGTATCTTCCAATGGAGGTGTTCACACCCAAGGAACCAAAAACTGCTCCCACTGAAGATGGCGCAGTGTAGGATGGAGCAGAATCAGCAGCGTTCTTCAAAAGAACCAGATCCTTCGCAAGAATTAGCTGGACGACACGTGAGCACTACTTCCAATCAGCCATTTCACAAAGGACTGATATCAAGATCCAATATTGATCACTCCCACTGAGAATAGGAGATCGAACTGGCAGATATGGTGGTGGCAAGAAAGAATTTTCACAGAGGTGCTGAATTCTTTCTTCTATGATTTCAGCTCTGAAGAGAATGTGAATATGGATATCTCTAAAGGCTGTTGCCCCCTCCTCCTTTTATAAGCTTAAAGGGATCAGCTCCTAATCCCATTAGGAGTTGTTGATCCAAATCATATTTGGATCAGAATTCCCTTTAAATGATAAGGGTAAACCCTTATCTTATCTGTAGATTAGATCAGCCCTCTCCTAATCCCATTAGGAGGTTTCTGCTAATCTAATATCAGAATTCGCCCCTCATTTAACTGATCAAATCAGCCCAGTTCGAAATGGGCTTTAGGCC